TGCCTCTTGTCTTCCTCTCTTCTTCAGTCATCCAACCCATAATGAACCCTCAACATAATAAAATTTGGTCTTAAGTGAGTACAAAGTGCCGTGATCATTTAATTCACTCCATATCTGGATGTCTTAATATAATATCCCTTACTTTCATAATTTAGCTTCTAGTTAACCTTGAATATGGTTTATCAGTACATGATCTTGTTGCAAGGATTACTCCTACTCAATGTAGTTAACAAAAATCTTCATATACTGAGGTCAGAGAAATTCTTGAACTCTTAGCACTGGGTAATTAAATTGTTTCTTTTCTCACCACTTCTTATTCTTGTCTTTTAAAAAGTCTTCCCATTTTTATCGCCTTTCACTTCTTTTCCCCAAAGCCAATTAACAGGTAAATAATGATCTGTAAAGCAAAAAGCAGCACTTCGTTAGCATAGCACTGAAATAAGGCAGTTCTTTGCTCAACACAAGTTGAACCATTCTCTTCTCACTGAATATAAAATATATGCCAAGTTAATAAATAATAATGATCGGAGATTTGACCAAATTAGCCAGTGCTAATAACAAAGGGTACAACTTGATTTTTCTCTGGAATGTGTTGTTCTTCTTGGCATTCGTCTGTTCCTGGGAGATGTGGAAACAGCTAAGTAAAACATTTTGTACTGCACTTAACTTATTTTCCTAGGAAGGAGAACAAAATAACATTGATTTTGCACCACCCTGACTGGGAACATTAGCTATGTAAGACAAAGGTGACTTGAGTAAAAGGTAGGGGATGGGGGGAAAGGGCTGGGAAATTGAAGTCCTCTCCCCTGGTCACTAGCATGTCTCCTTGCACAGAACACGAGAAACATGATCACTGCTGATCATCTTCTTGGACTGCATCCTGATGTCTATCGAGAGTCCCTCTCTATAGGACCTGAGGCCTGCCATGTGAGGTTGGTTCGGAGACTGGGTGCCATGCAAAGCGTGGGGCTCCTGCTAGAACACCCGTGGTCCAGACCCCTTGATAGTGTGACTTCCTCTCCTGGGCTTCCTGATACGCCCTGTAGGTGTGGTGGGAACCAGCTAGATCTTTCTCTGCTTCCCCTATAGTGCATTTCTCAGAGTTCCATGCTACAGGAGCAGCTGATGATAACCTTGCTCCCTTGACTGACGTTGTCCTGATTTCATAAAGAATCCTGAGCCACACAGCTTCTCTGGTTTGTGCAATTTATCATTACTCTCTGTGACAAGAATGTAACCATGGTAGGTTGTTTCTACTGGCGCCTGGAAGGAACAATCGGAAATTGAACTGACGTTCTGAGATAGACCCTTTCATTGCCTATTTCATGTACAGGCAGGACAAGGGTGTTTCCTGTCAGCTAAGCCATGGCCTCCAGTTCTTCAGGTGGTCTGATTGTTTCTTCCCCTCCACCATGTGGGTTAGTATCCCCTAATTTCCCAAAGCAATGAGAGTAAATGAAATTTCTTCTAAGAGAAAGAATTTAGCTTTAGGTAAGCTTGAAAATGTGCAGTGTGATGACAAAAGGGGATAATCTGTCCAGGTCATGTTCTGCACTTTGAGTGACAGGCTGTGGCCTACACGGCCCCAGGGGCCTTTGCAATGTCAGCATGGCACCGTCCACCTTTGTCCTTTTCCTGTAACATGGCCAGGGATGGAATCAGCGGAGACCTGATGCAGCTTACTAACCCAGTGACCCAGCTCAGGTTTTATTGTTTCCATAAATGCAATTTTTAAGCATTATTTTTTTAACTCTTGACTACATCAAAAGAAAATAAGAGTAGTTTATTATCGGCCAAGTTTCCAATATTAAAAAGCATCAGAAACTGGATATGTTCCTCTGCTGTGATGGAAAGAGAAGGGAGAAGCAAGACAGTTTGGCTGTAAAAAGAAAACTCAGCCCCCTGTACACTGGGACAGGCCCCAGAGAGATGGGAGACAGGGTTTCAGAATGGAAGAGCTGCCTTCTTCTCCATTCAGGGCATGGTGCTGAAATCACCCTCTCCACTCTTGGCCAGATCAAGTCTAATGTATTTCTTAAAAATCAGGTGCCAAAAATGATCTGACGAAGGGAAAAATAGTTAACTTTTCCAAATTAAGTCAACGCAACTGGAAAATCTGGAAATTTGCATGGAGTTAGAGAAGGCAATGGCACCCCACTCCAGTACTCTTGCCTGGAGAATCCCATGGACAGAGGAGCCTCGGAGGCTACAAGTCCGTGGGGCCGTACAGAGTCAGAAAGGACTGAGTGACTTCACGTAGAGAAGACCTGCATAACTCCTTTCCAAGTTCAGAGATTGTACTCCATTCATTACATCAAGCCTGAACTCTCAGTACAGTTTTATAACTTTAAATCACCTACCTCTAAAAAAAAAAAAAGCAGAAATGAAAAACTATTGGCATCTCTGAGAAGACAGAGGAGCAGTTTCTACACGGTTCCAATATGTCTTTTTCTTCCTTTATTGTGTTACTTGCTTAGGTGCTGTTGACTGTTCAGGGGTCCCATCCTCTAGGATCCAATGTCTGATTTCTATCATTATGTACTATGGGCTTCCCTAGTAGCTCAGACAGTAAAGCATCCACCTACCATGCAGGAGACCCACATTTGATCCCTGGATCGGGAAGATCCCCTGGAGGGGGAAATGGCAACCCACTCTAGTATCCTTGCCTGGACAGTCCCAGGGACAGAGGAGCCTGGCGGGCTACAGTCCATGGGGTCGCAAAGAGTTGGACATGACTGAGCGACTAACACACATGTAGTCATAACAGAAATAAGTGCGCAATAAATGTAATGCACTTTGATCATCCCCAAACCATCCGCCTCCAACCCCGATCTGTGGAAAGGTCTTTTTCCATGAAACCAGTCCCTGGCACCAGAAATTTGGGGCACCTCTGGTCTAGATGATAGCGTACAGAATGCAAGGTTTTTATTTCTAAGCACAAGCACGTGCACAGATGTGTGCTTGAGACAAGTGTGCACTGGCGTCCTGAAAGGCTGGCGAGTGATTAGAACGGAACTTTAGCCCCACACATGGACATTCTCACTGTTGAGTGCGGGTTTGCTGGCTGCCCAGCCTCCACCAGATTCTGTTCAGCCCCCAGGCTCCTGCAAGGGCAGCTGTGCTCAGGGTCCCCCGCCCCTTCCTTTCCTTTTCCTTCCCTCCTCTGCCTGCTGCTGCCTGGCCACTTCTTCCCATCATTCCCCTGAAACTCCTCTCCACAAACCCCGTCTAGCTGTCAAATTAAAAGAGAAAGTTAAAACCTTCGTCTTAATGAACTCTGCTATGAAATCTGACCATGCCGACCACACCGCTCTTCTGGAAATTCTTTGCTTGTTTCTCCTCCACCCTCTCGGATGACCTTCTTTCTTGCCCTCCACCATGGCCAGCTCCTCCTGTTTTCTGCTCTCTAAATGCTGCTGGAATCCAGAAGATTCCAGTGACTTCTCTCCTGCTGCCAGTGATTTAGGCGGATGGCTCCTAAAAGGGGATTTTCAGCCCAGAGAATGCTCCTGAGACCCAGTCTCTGAGAGCCAGTTGCCCACTTCATGTATGAGGGTCATCATCCTTTCTTCTTCATTCTCTAGATTTCTCATCTTCTTCCCTGTGATCTACTGGATGGTGAAGCACATCACCACTCTCTTAGTCACTTAAGCCAGAAATTTGGGGTTAATCCACACACCGTCTCCCCACCCAAATCCAAATAGTCCCAAGGCAGTTGTACCTCCTACATCGCTTTGCATGTTCTCTTCCTCTCCATTTTCACTGCGATCTTATTATTTCTCTTTGGTATTAACATAGGAGCATCACATCTGACCTCCATGACTTCATCCCCTGAAATCTGCCTTTTCATCTCACTGCAGATCTTTACAAACACAAACGTGACCATGAAAATGCCCTGTTTAAAATACTTCAATGGTTTCCCATTAGTTTCAGAATGAAGTGCAGCTTTCTTAAAAAGGGGGAAATCAACACTGAATAGCAAGAAGAAACCAATGCAAAATAGCTTATTTGGACAAAGTTTGTTGTTCTATGGCCCTCACCCACTGTCTGATTCGACCTATTCCTGCTTCCCTCTCAGATATATCTCTTCAGCCCTATTCTACCATCAGTGAATATACTACTCAATGTGTGCTCCATATAGAACTTTACCCTTCTTTCTCCTTTGCCTGGGGGGTCCTTGTCTCACTTATATCCTTATTCACCAGGGTAACCTAAGCATCAAGACATAGCTCCAGTACGTTATCTCTTCTGGGAAACTTCCCTTCCTCACCTACTCTCCATAATTAAATTCCACACTCTATCTTTTCCTCCATTATCCTGCTGAGTTTCTTATAATGTTTGACACATAAAGGAAACGCAATAGGTGTCTGACCAGTGAATGAATGAATGAATGGGTGAATATTAGGCCAAATAATAAAGCAAAATAGGATGGGATAAAGAGCATTGTTCAATGTCTTATGAAGAAAAGTGTCAAACTTCCAGTCTGGAGGCTGCTCTGCTGTATAATTGAAAGAATCACTTAATGTTTCTGTACCTAGGTTGCTTACCTGTAAAATAAGGTCATACTAGGGCATGATGAGAGCCCACACTAACCTCTGATAGTCTTTCATCTCCATGACTATTCTTGCATAGAAAAGCACAACTCGCCATGAATTTAGTTGTACATTAGAGAATTGATGCTTGGCGAACACACCCTCACACTTTGCGTTATACCCCATCTGGGTAGCCACTTTACAGAACAGGCTTCTTAACTCTGGGAGCTTGAATGTAAAATCTTTCAGAGGAAGAGGCACTTATCCTGGTGGGAAAGCTTGAGCTTACCATTCCTCTGAAGTTTCTTATTACACTTCCCTACTGTTGAAATGCCCTGACTTGTAAGAGGGCTGAGTGGGGTTCAGGGTACCAGAGAGCATGCGGCTCCTGGGCTGGGGGATGTGACTGTGTCGCGATGGTGACTGGGTGCGGGTACCATCTCAGTGTGCACTTCCCCTTTCTTGCAGATGGAAGCCCTTACACCTGGTGGGTAGGCAAAGCCAACGAGAAGCATTACTACTGGGGAGGCTCTGGGCCTGGAATTCAGAAATGTGCCTGCGGCATCGAGCGCAACTGCACGGACCCCAGATACTACTGCAACTGTGACGCGGATTACAAGCAGTGGTGAGTGCCGGGGCCGGGCACACAAGCTCCCCTCCCAGCCTGCCTGGAGGCCAGACTAATTAGATGGGAGAGAAAGTGTGAAAAGTGCTGAAATAATAAGAGATGAGGTTAGAAAGGTTCGGGCCTAACCCAGCTGACAAATGTCAGGAACGTTCTGAAAACTATAAAAGCTGAAAGAGGTCAGTGCTACAAGGGTATGCATTTAGAAATAGAAGAACACATAATTGATGTATTCATATTTTATTCAGAGAGGAAAATAATGAGCCATGTAGTAGACAGTGATTTGCATTATAAAATGTGCTTTGTGACAATACAGGGGGTGGCCGCGGGCAGGGAGCCGTGTGCAGGTGTGTGAGAGCCCAAACAGCCTCCTACAGTGAGTGCTCCCACCTCCTACCACGTTTGCTTTGAGGAGCTGGATGAGGGAGAAAAAAAAGACAGAGGTGGGAAAAGAAAGGGAAGATTGTGCTTTGCTCCCGTCTTCAGCAACAGTGCTTGCCAGCCTGCTTTTCTTTCATGCCTTGAACTGTTTATAACTCTGATACAAATCAGTTCAAAGAAGATCTAAATTTGGGGTTTCTTTCATCCCTCTACTGGCTTTTGTCCTGCTTCACGGCGCATGGCTGTGTCTGTGTCCGTAATAGATAAAGATAAATCAGCTGTCATTCTGTGTGGGAAAAGGCCCCAGAAGTTTTTGGTGGAAAATATAAGCCTGAGTCCCGTTCTTTCCATAAAGCTCACATCTTGCAACGGCTCCTCCCTCAGTCTCTGACACGGGAAGAGGCGGCTGTGCTCCATCCCCGCCTCTGGGTGGCAGCAGAGAGCAGGGCCCCGAATTTCTTCATGTGACTGATTACAGTTGCCTACATTTGCCCCGGTTTTAATTAATACTAACTACACAGAGGACGGTTTACAAGATAAGTTCATCCTACCAGTTAACTGAAAACTAGTTCTTCCTGTAAAGTTGTGTGCTTGTCAGGTTGGATGCCTACCTATTTTCCAAAAGCCTTTTTTTAAAAATAAATGATATTATTATAGAGGCTATACATTTCAGTGGCTTAGAATTTCTGTGCATGTGTATAAATAGCTATCATTACTCTTTAACTTTGGTTTATGGTCAAGAGGAAATAATGATATATTCACTTTTTAATTTTGTTTGAAAGATGTGTCTACAAGCACACGCACACTATAGAAAGACTCAAAGTCAGGAGAATGAAATCAGAGAGACCCAGTCTTCAAAGGTGACTTTTCGGTCAGGCAGTCTGTCGACTCAGTCAGTCCTTCACTCACATTGATATTGATGGAGCTCTTTTGTGCCAGGGAGTCTTCTGCTACTGCTGCTGCTAAGTCACTTCAGTTGTGTCCCACTCTATGCAACCCCACGGACGGCAGCCCACCAGGCTCCTCTGTCCCTGGGGTTCTCCAGGCAAGAACACTGGAGTGGGTTGCCATTTCCTTCTCCAATGCATGCATGCATGCAGAGTCGCTTCAGTCGTGTCCGACTCTGTGCGACCCTATGGACAGCAGCCCACCAGACTCCACTGTCCACAGGATTCTCTAGGCAAGAGTTCTGGAGTGGGTTGCCATTTCCTTCTTCAGGGAGTCTTCTAGGTTCTGGGAATAAAACAGAGACTGGCAGTAACAGGAACCCCTTCTCTGACCTATGTTCTTGTCACTTCTTACTATTTGCATGTCTGTAAGTAGGTTCTGTGGGTTCACGCAGATTCATTCATCTGCTCAGCTTTGACTCTCAGAGCCTTGGGGAGCAGACTTCGGTGCAGCTTCCCAGACCAGAAGGGAGAGCGCTATTCCCAGGTGGTTCATTGTTCAAGCAACCTACACTGTTCAGTGCTTTTGTCCTGCCGTGGAGGGGAGTTGAGATATTCAAAAGGAAAAGGGAGATCTCGTGCGTGAATCCAAGTGAAATTTGTTTTTGTCAGATGTCATCCCAAGGGCTCAGGATTCAGTGACAAATAGAGCATGGTGTTTGTCCTCAAGGACTCAAAAATTAGTTGGGAAAACACACACACACACAGAGATAGACAACATAATACAACCACGCTCTGATGAAGACATCGCAGGGTCCAACAAAACCAGTGCAAGGAAATTGAAGACCAACTGAGGGAGAGTGGAGAGGAGCTAGGACAGTCCTTATGAGTCAGGGATGCTTGAAAGTGTGCAGGGAACACTCTTCCTTGCAAGATTGACTTGGAGGAGAGGCAGGAGTGAGGATAGCCAGCTTGGGGAGCCATCAGGGCCGTAGATCTGGGCTGTGATGTGGAGAAGAGAGGAGAAACCTCAGTGAGGCTCAGCAGTGGGCAGCAAACACTAGAGCTGCCACTCTTTTCCGTGGGTGGTGGGAGATGGATTTACTGCAGTGAGCCCTGTGGACGTAGCCTTGATGGGGGGGTGGGGGGGAGAGATCCAGCAAAAGGAAGTCATGAGAGCTCTTGAAAGGTGTTGAGGACCAGACAGTGGAAATGGTGGAATATATGTGAGATATTCAGGAAGTGGTCCCTCCAGGACTTGATAGTTATGACTATGTAAGAAGAAAGAGACGGGTCTGGGTAGGCTCCCCACTGGGCACCTAGAAATGGTTAAATTCCTTACCAGGCAAAGGAATAACAGTTCAGCGGGTAGATGATGGGTTCGGCTTTGAAAATATTAAGTTTGACATGACATAACATATTATAACACCACCATAACACTGTTTCTAAACCCAGAGGGGCACCATTCGTGGGATCACTGGTAAGACATTCAGGCTTCAGAGCAATGCACTTACAAGAACATGAAAGTGAAAGTGAAGTTGCTCAGTCATGTCCGACTCTTTGTGACCTTATGGACAGTAGCCCACCAGGCTCCTCTATCCATGGGATTTTCCGGGCAAAAATACTGGAGTAGGTGGCCATTTCCTTCTCCGGGATATTCTTCCCAACCCAAGGATTGAACCCAGGTCTCCCGCATTGTAGGGAGACGCTTTACCGTCTGAGCTGCCAGGGAGGATAGTACCTGAATTCCGAGAACAAACCTGAATTCAGATCATCCATGAGAAGATGCTATAGACAGACCTGTTCAGCCTCACTCAGACACATGCCTCTGCAAGCTCTTGATTAGATCGTAACTTTCCACAGTTGCTCAGGGACTTGGACATGGCTGATGTCTTGTTTCCTTCGGGTTGAGTAGCAGCTAAGACATCCTCACCCTTTTGCTCCTATGAGATGGTCTACTGTCTCATGGTAGGGGCACTGTATCTTGAGCAAACTGAAAAGTAAAATCAGTATGTTTACAATAAATAACTACTGAAATGATCTTTCCTATTTGCACAAGAAAGAAAGCTTTTGGTGATGTCTTCTTGGGCTTTGAATTCACCAGCACCTGGAAAATACCTATAGTGTGGATGCTTTCAGTATTTCAGAATGAGCAGATCTGTTTCTAGAGATGTGTACCAAAGTTCCTGGAAGCAGAAAGCTTTACATTAGGTCCAGATCTGCCACTTTGAGGGGAGGCTTTTAGCCAGCCTTAAATTTAGGTTTGTGGTCTGTATAGTAAAACTGAATCTTGACTGGTAGACTACTGTGAGAGTTAAGTAGAATGTGGACTAGGAAAATAATATTCTGTGAATTGTACAATGTGAATACATAGCTGATTGCAATTCTTAATTATGTAATTTTCATTGCAATTCTTACTGGTTCCAAATGAATCTTGAGAAATGAAAAGGCACCAGGTAAAGGGGTCCCTGTGCTTTCTCGACCTGCCATGCCACAGGGCGCGTGTCGAATTCCACAATACCATGAGGCAGTGACACAGAACAGGCTTTGACAGAGAAACTTACAAACCAGAGATCATCAAGAGAAGAGAAAGTCTAGGTCCACTAACCCCATCAGCTCTCAGAGAGATGCTGCACCAGGCCCTTGTGCTGAGCACAGGGTTTCACAGAGAACCTGGCTTCTCCCCCCTCACAGGGCAAGAGTGAGAGCAGCTTTGTCGGTGGAGCCATCAGACTCTTAGGGCACCAGGAAGGCTGAACGCAGGGCCAGGGGTTTACTGCATTGTCTGGGGGTCCTGCCAGAAGAGGGAGGAAGCCAGAACCCGGGTAGGAAGTAGACTCCTGCAGCCTCCCCCCTCCACGATGGGCAGAACCAGGGAGCATTTCTGGCTGGCTCACTGTCCAGGCTACACAGACTGTGAGCTCCATGGTCACTGGTATCCAGCTCTTTTCATCCTACCACAGAGGACAGCTGAAGACTCAGGAAAAGGAAAGTCTGGTGTACACACCCACGTGAAATCCACACGTGTGAAACAACATCTGTAGTGACATAAAAATAGAAACTCAAATACTTTGGCCACCTGATGCAAAGAGCTGACTCACTGGAAAAGACCCTGATGCAGGGAAAGATTGAAGGCGGGAGGAGAAGGGGACAACAGAGGATGAGATGGTTGGATGGCATCACTGACTCGATGGACATGGATTTGAACAAACTCCAGGAGACAGTGAAGGACAGGGGAGCCTGGTGTGCTTCAGTCCACGGGGTCACGAAGAATCAGACATGACCTGGTGACTGAACAACAACAACAAAATAACGAAAGCAGAGGTTCTACTGAATCTCATGCTTTCAGGGTCCATACCCAGCTAAGAAAGTTGCTTCTACCAGCAATCTTACCTCAATCAGAAAAATCATTTCATTAAACTAAAACATCTATTTCTGCTTTATTGACTATGCCAAAGGCTTCGACTGTGTGGATCACAATAAATATGGAAAATTCTGAGAGATGGGAATACCAGACCACCTGACCTGCCTCCTGAGAAACCTGTATGCAGGTCAGGAAGCAACAGTTAGAACTGGACATGGAACAACAGACTGGTTCCAAATAGGAAAAGGAGTACGTCAAGGCTATATATTGTCACCCTGCTTATTTAACTTATATGCAGAGTACATCATGAGAAACGCTGGGCTGACTATGGAAAACAGTGTGGAGATTTCTTAAAAAGCTGGAAATAG